TGAAGGTGGGGGACTAGGTTAAGCACGACTCTATTCCCGTGAAGATATGACGACTCGAAAGGATCTGAACTATTCGGCAGAGCACAAAGTGCGCGACCGACGGTTGTCCTACCAACGAGAAAACTAAGCTGAGCAACGTGATGGAGGTGGAGCTAACGCCCATCTTCTCCTCACGATAGCCAAGCCCTATTTTATCTAAAAGTCGACAAACAGCAGCGGCACACCGGGGGCCGAAGGTCTTTTAAACAAAACTACGGTAGTCATCTATGTATACGGCCACTGGGATTTGAAAGAGGCCCCGGATCGCCGCAACGATCAACAGGGACACCCTAACCCAGACGACGACACTGTGAGTATTTCCAAATAACAACGCTGAGGAACGGAAGGCGAAAAGTTTTAAACTGGAAGGGTCGTAAACTGCGATGTAGTTAGCGTGCTGTTGAGTGACGACGATGCCCACGCTCTTGTAGGCGCGCTCGATATCTATAACAAACCCGTCGACCCCCAAAGGAGCGTCGGGTGGAAGGTCTAAATCCTCAAAGAAATTATTAATGAATACATCGCCAAACAGAGATGCTGACGGACGAGAGTCAACACCAGGCTCCTCCACTCTGCGGCGTTTGGGATTAACTACGAAGTTTCCGGCTACATCCCGGCCTAAACTTGGATCAAGAGATAACCTAGCCGCCACGGTTGCGGTGGCAAGAGCCTCTAAAGGGCTCGGAAGAGGGATTTTTTTTGACAGATGCGCGGAGTTGTTAAAAACTCGCGCGTCGTCAATCATCCTGTACTTGCTCTTTTGCCAGATGGCGAAGCGCGGCACGAGTGCCTCGATCTCATCTGGCAGAGAGTCAATAGAAAATGGCCCATGCAAGATCCCCTCGCGTGCCTCGCCAAGAGAGGTGTCCCAAATAAGTTGTAAGACGTCATCGTCCATGAGCGCGGGCTTTGACCTAGTTGCCATGGCGTGTTTCGAGCAAACGCGCTCGCAAGCGTTGGAGACGTCGTCATCCAGCTTGGGTTTCCTGTCCACCCAACCGGGCGGGCAGGTTACTTTACCAACACAAGTGCCGCCCCGTAAAAACAAAGTCCAGACGTCGGGGCCTTCAGGCATGAAGAGATTATTTAGTTTCTTGATTAGGGCGATGCTTTTGAAGCCGATCACGGAGGAATTAGAAACATCGAAAAAATTTTCATGGAGTTCAGACGATGGAGGACGCCACGAGCTTGCGTCCAATTCTTCGAGGAGCTTTAAACCGTTGTCGACGGACTCGATTGTGGGGTAACCTTGTAGGTACAGCTGGAAACTCTTTTCGTCAATGACTTGATCCAGCTTGACATCGTGCACATTAGCGACGTCATCACGAATTCTAGTGAGGATCTGCGCAGCCGATTCTGCCGCCGACCAACATACATTCTTCAGCTTTTTGTTGCCCATCCTTCAAAAGGGAAGACAAAACGACGTAATAAAAAGACAACGGGGCGACAGTTCGAGAGGCACAGAAAACATAAGCTGCGTGTTCAATTGGGATGCTGAGTACATGATTAGGCCATGTCGTGCGTCAGTGCTAATTAGTTGAACTCCTACAGGGTGTCTCCGTTGTGTTCCGTCAACAGACAAAGTCGCTCATGGAGCTCATGACAGAAAAGGGCGGCTCAACACGCATATTACTCTTGCGAGAGTGGGCCGTACTTAATGCTAATGGCCACTCTAATAAGGCAGCACTTCAGTTTGAATGATGAAAGAATTCTTTTTCCTCAGACAGAGACTCGCCAGGACGAGATTCGAAAGCTCTCATTGGGTAACAAGTGTGTGACTGTGTGTTGCCACGCATCAATGTAAAGGTGAGGCGAAAAGGATTAGGTAAAGGTAACTAGCAACGACACGGATGAACTCGCCCTGACCCTGAGGGTAGTCCCAGCCGTGGCTGGGGACTTACGAGCCTCTGCGAGTCGCATTGAATTGGGACGGTGGGTGGGAGAAATGAAATGAACGGTGATAACTGAAAGAATGAAGGCAATGAAGTGCCTGAGAATGGTGTGAGCTTGAATAGTTAGGGTCACTGCACTCACGGCCCCAGAGGAGAGGAAGGAGTTCACGAAAGGTGAGAGCTCCCTCCCCTCCGCTAATAGTCATCGGCATAAGCCGCGACTTCTGCAGGCAAAAGTCGCCCCTTTATGCTGATGCCTATTTTGCTACGATGAAGGTGGGGGACTAG